ACTCAGAGCACAATAACTGACACTTTCCCAAGCACCAAATAAATACCGAGGGCTACATTCCTACCACGTTTGTACGATACACACAGCACAAGGAGATACAACTGGAGCAGGAGTGAATTAACTGAATACGACAAGCTGCTTGATAAGAGGGGATAATAAGGAGATTGCACAGGCTCTAGCTTGTTTGGAGTTAACCATTCAAATGTTTGGTGTTGTAGGGTTTATTTATAAACACCCATATTCGAGGTTATGAGAGCAGGTTGACATTTTGTCAACAAATCTTGTTGAATTTACTGTTTATTAGGCAGATTACCTTGAAAAACATTGCTGCCGTATTTCTGATATAGTTTTTTGCAAATTTCTCAGTTTTTAATAACAATTAATTTATTTTACTATTTTTGATGTACTCCTATAACAGCGCCAGACAACACCTCCAGGGGAATGGCGCCAATTTTGAATCACCCTGTAGATTATAATTAAATAGTGCTAAATAAAATAATTCATTCATATCATCTTCAAATAATTCAGCTACATAGTTACTACAGACTATAAGACTTTTGTACATGGTAAACATGTCATCCTTGCAACGTTTTACGTGTTTGGACATCTATCGACAAACCTCATCTGCTTGGCTCTTCGTATTTTTTGGTTTATTTGACTTTGCTTTCTTTAACCTATTATTATTATTATTATTCTTATTGTTCATTTTCCTTGTATTGTCTTCGTTTTTCTGGCACTTCCTAGACTATTCCTATATTTTTCTTGGGATTTTTTGTTACTGTATGTTCTTCTGATAGGAGATCAGAAGATCTCAATATACTACGAAATATAGTTACCATGTATCCTCAATAATTTCGGAAGTTTTCATTACTTACACGGGCTTCTGCCTGAAACAATTATATTATTACTTTACTGTGTTTCGTCTCTATATGCTATAGCTTGTCTCCTATTTCATCAATGACTAACTGGTTGTGGTTAAACTCAATAGCCGCGCCCGGACATGTTTTAGATCTGTCGTAGCTTTCCTATTTCTTTGGTTATGAATAAAAGAAGCTGATCAATTCTGACTGTTAGTGTTAACTTTCCTCCAGGGGTCCCGATTCATGTATAGAGCCTGCGTTTGATATAACTAATAATTATTACTAAGCTGTTGCTGCCTTGACAAACATCAACCATTTTCTTCATCTATTGCTGTTTTCAAGACTTCCAAGTTTCCATATCTTCTATTCATTCTTCTATTAGGTTTGATCTACGTCCAATTTTGGCAAAATAACCCTTTCGAACGCATAGGTACATCAACAAATACATTGCTCTGTAATTGATCTTAAAAATACTTATTAGTACGTTGACATGGAATAATTCATTTATTTAAGGAAGGTCAGATAAATATTGGATGAAGGTTGATATAACAAATTCCTTGATTATCGTCGAGCAGTGAAAAAACACATAGACCAATAACCTCTGTTCGCAGTTCATCTGACAAGCGACTCGATCCAAACAGATAACAATCGATTGCGATTCTGAATATCTGAACAGACATATTCGGTGATTGCTGTATTGAAGGGCTCGGCAATGTGCATCAGTGTGGAAAAGTGTGTTTATTTGTTCGTATTTACGGTGCCAAGCATTTACATACAATTGCGAACAAAATATTTCTTTCGTATTAGGAACTAGTGTTTGCTTTGCAAAGGAAATGTGCTGAATTCATCTTATGTATGAATGGCCACATTTTTCATTTTACGTCTAACGAATTAACAAACAATCAAATCAAACAAATCAGGACCGTTTAAAAAACTTTTTAATGACACATTCTGTGTTATTTTGAGTGAATCATTTCTTTGAAGCGTTGAAATATTTGATTCACGAGTAATTTTTCAGTTTGTTGAGTTGTCAGCAAACCTATCTCTATTTGCCAAAATGTCTACGAAAGTTCTTTATTTTAGTAGAAACAACTTTTCAGGAAGCTGTCGATGCAAGAAGTGAGATTTATTTAGGTTTCCTAGCTGTTCGTTTTGTCTACCTGTATACACACATCAATTTTAAAAGTTTTAAAGACCTTTCCACAAGTGTGAAAACTTGTTTGTTTTGCAACTGAATTTAACTGAGCTAACTCATTTAACAGCTCCTACATCTGTAGTGAAAATGCGTCCGTTATTTTTTAGGTTCAATACTTTTATTATGAGCACATCAAAAATGTATTTTGAACTTACGTCGCAGTGAATAACTTTTTAATGTTTAGTGGAAAAATGTCCTTGCAATCAGTAAAGTAAGAACAACCGGAAACGAATCCAGAACATATGTTCATTGAACTAAATGCTTGATTATAATGATCGATAGTATCTCACTCTCCAGTTAAAACTAGGCCTTCCACCTACGTCTGGTATGTCTAAATGTATT